CTCCATCTCCATCTCCATCTCCATCTAATCTCCATCTCCATCTCCATCTCCATCTCATCTCCATCTTTATCTCCATCTCTATGTCTATCTCTATCTCTATCTCTATCTCTATTTACCCCTACCCCTACCCCTACACCTACACCTACACCTACACCTACACCTACACCTACACCTACACCTACACCTACACCTACACCTACACCTACACCTACACCTACACCTACACCTACACCTATAACTATAACTATAACTATACCTATACCTATACCCATTCCCAGTGGCGTAGCGAGGTCGGGTGTCACCCCCCCCCCCCCAGAGGCGTAGCGACCCTTCCCGGGGACAAACTTTCAAGTTTTCGATTTGCTTCCCCCTTTAAACTTTTGATTTGCACCCCCCTAAATTTTTTCTCTATATATTTTGCTATTTTTTGCCTTGGTGTCACCCCCCCTAAATGGTGTCACCCGGTGCGGTCCGCAGCCCCCCCCACCTCGCTACGCCCCTGCCCATTCCCATTCCCATACCCACACCCACAACCACATCCACATCCACATACATATCGACACCGACGTACTCGTTTTCTCCATCCTTCATTTTTTAGTAGATATTTGGACCAAACTTACTGTGTCTTTATTAAGTTCTGTGGTTGTTTAAATGTATTCTTTGTCTCTACAATTGTATTAAAAACTAGCTATGTGGTTTGTAACTTTCTTTGTACAAATTTTTTTTTAATGAGCATCATTATTTTAAGAATAGAAATATATCGTCGAATTGGTTTTAACGTTTGCCTTTTTTTTCTACAGCTTAGTGTTTTGTTTTCTAAGGAGAAATATGTTTGTTATTTTAGAACTATGACTAGTCAATCTGCAAGAAAGAGATTTTTTTGTTTTGACGGATTGTGACAAGCTGACCCGCTTTATGGTCTGGCTGGATGATAGATACACCACTTTTTCGAATTTTATATTAACTTTTTGTAAGCGTTATGTTCAATAGAGGGTAAACATGTATTGGAAGCCTCTAGAAATGAATGAATTTAAACATTATACTCAGTTACTAATTTTTGTCGGGAAAACAAGTGAAAAAGCTAAAGTGTACTAATATGGCAAAACGAGCGAATTTGACGGTTTTTTTTTTTTTGGCAAGCATATTGTTTTACAACTTTATTACAATTTTTACTATTTTAAGTGAATTGATATTTAAATCTTGTAGTGCTTTGATATACTCATTTGATTAAAAAAAGTGGTAAAAACTTATCGTGTTTTATTTTAGTAATTAAAATGATATTGTTGACAAGACAAGGTAATTAAGGCTGGAAGTAGCCTGTCTTTGTTTTGGCATGGACATATGTTGGTTCTAACATAGTTATGGTTGAAGAAAACTACTTTATTTGAAAGTCTGAGAAATGTAATCAAATACTATCTTCAAAAAAAATATTTTACTAGTTTGACTTATTACATTGCAAAATAACATAGATAATATAGTTAAGTTAAAACTGATATAAGTTGTTCGGGGTTGTGTTGCTCCGTTATTCGTGCATTTTTTTAGGGACGAGGAGGTTTATAAAACCAGAACAAACCAAATATACATTGTAAATAACAAATAAAACTTTTTAAACATAGTTAAATAAATTTATTTACATTTACTAGAATTTACTCATCAAAATGATCGACGCTTTACAATTTATCAAAATGATAAAACAATTCTCAGTCAACCCTATACACTTTTTCACTACACATAAAGTGGTCCTCCAACTCTCTTCCACAAGTATTTTATACCGGCATTTGTCCTTGGAAAACAACTCATAACCGGGTAAACTCACCAACTCCACTGACCTGTGACTCTAAACATTAAATGAAAAACACAAAACAATGACAAAACCAACTCACGTTAAGTTAAGAAAGTAAAGGCTATTGGGCGTGAGACGACCACATTATCATCTCATATATATATATATATATATATATATATATATATATATATATATATATATATATATATATATATATATGTTCGCCTAACTGAATCTGCACTTAAATTATCTATATTATAGAATTACAAGTAGAGTATAATCCAAAATTCGATAGAACTTATAGATTAAAGATTAAAAGATTCCAAAATATTCGATTTAGAATTTACAAATGGCATGGAACTGCAGTTATCGTATTCCCAAGGAAATTAGACAAAGAGATGCTTGCATATTTGATCCTATGGATTTGTGTTACATTATGACCAATTAAATGAAACGGATGGCTACTGCAGTTACTCCTTTTTGAGAGAACAATATCAAAATTCAAATAAAATCTTATTTACGAATTTTAACATTTTTAACATGTATATGAAATTTAATTTAACTAACTGAAACGGTATTCCAGTTATCGCGTTAACACATGGACACACACACACACAGAGCCGGCGTTAGGGGGTGGCGAACGGGGCGGTCGCCATAGGCCCCGCGCTTGAAGGGGCCCCGCGCTTCAGCAATGTCATTGTTATCTGAATTAGTTCGTAAACTTAAAAAAATTGTTGCTGAATTCAATTGGGAAAAACTAAATGGTCGAATGCCGACGTTGTTGATTGTTATAACTGAGGGTTGATGTTGGTGAGTCTCACCTGAACTGGGACAGGCCGTAATTCGATACAAAAATAGAGTCACACCTCCCTTTGTGTAGGGTACGGTCGCCTGGCATTTGACCTGAGCTGACTGGAGATGGCGGTCGAGAATTAGCCCACGACGTAAAGAGATACCCTATTGTATGCGGACCGATGAAGACTTCCTTTTAGTGAGCAGACGGGATGTCTATAGTAGACAGTTAGTGACCCGATGAACTCTAGTCCTGACTTTCTTGTTGTAGATGTCGAATAATGTCGTATATGTACAGTGTTTCTTCCAGACTTTTTTCTCCGGGGGGGGGGGGGGGGGGAGGGGCACGTGAGATTTTCGGGGGGCGGGGGCGGGGGCGGTAGACTTTCTTCGGGGGGGGGGGCGGAAACTGTTAAAAGTATATATTTTCTCTATAAGTTATATAAATTTCATTTCGTTTTCGGGGGGAGGGGGTGGGCAAGCCCCCCCCCCCATCCCCCCCCACCCCCGAAGAGATGCCTGGAAGAAACTCTATATGTAGGCCTACTTGTCTTGGTATAACAAAATTAGCATTCAGTTGCGTGCAGAGGGGTGGGAGGAGGGCGACGAGAAGGGGGGGGGGGGGGGCCTTAGGATCTATATCAGGCGGCATTAAACAGAGTGATTTATTATTATTTTTTGGAAGAAAGTTAAAACTGTTGTTACGTTGTGTCACCTTAAGGATTCACCCGTTCAATAATTAAGACAATAATGATTTTGGTTTTAAAATATTGTATGAATTCTAAACAAATTTTTTGAAGTCTATACTGTTTTGATACATCAGGCCGAGTTCGCTGTATTGTAAACTTTATTTTCCTAATTATTCGGCACGTGATTAAATTTTCTTAAGTGATTTGGTATGAATTACATAACTGTTAAAAGTGATTTAATATCTTAGCAAAGGAAAAAAAAACTAGGAACATTGGGTTAATACATGGGAGAGATAAAAATCTGTTATTATAGTGGAAAGTTTGACATTAGCTTATAAACTCCAAAAAAGTTGTGTTATTATGTGTACATCACATTATATAGTCCTTTATACATATATATACATATGTAAGCCCTGCTAGGGGGGGATACCTTAACATCTACCCTTCTAGGCTTATCTAACTAAACTACTGTCCGGTCAGTGCAAGCCCGGATAAACCCAGACTGGTTAATAACCTAACCTTAGTCTAAATTAAAAAAACCAAAAAAACTTTTAACAATTTAATAAAATTTATTGCATGGAACCAAAAGTTATTATAACAAAACTAGAATCTAGATAAAATAAAACACTCAAGACATACAAAACAAACAGAACTCAACGAACCAAAACATTACGTTCGACTATTTGATGGTGCTGCGCCGACTTATGATGTCTAGGATGGTCCAGGCCCTGACACCCAGAAACCTCCCTTCATCCATTCTCGACATCCAAAAGTCCGCACCAAACAAAACACTACGTAAAACCACTACGTACAATACGTTACGTACAATACATTACGTAGAAAACGGTACGTACACAACAAACTTTTTACACCAAACAAAACAATTCAAATATAACAAAACACCCAGCCAAGTTGCCCAAGCAACCTCACTCCAACGCACAAAGCGCGACCACAGAAGCTGACCTGACCTACATTCTGGCGGTCAAAAAAAGGAAGAAATTATCCGAGTGGTCAGTTTATATACTGACCGCTTCGGACGGAAGGGGGACCCCGTGGCCTGTTCCCCATTGGACCACCATGCACTCCCAGATTCGCAACAAATAAAATTAATACAAAATAAATAATCCATTCACCCGCTCACACACACACACACACACACATATATATATATATATATATATATATATATATATATATATATATATATATATATATATATATATATATATATATATATATATATATATATATATATATATATATATATATATATGGAAAGGCCCCGCGCGGATGGTTGGCCCTAGGCCCCGCGTATTCCTAACGCCGGCCCTGCACACACACACACACACACATACACACACACACAAATACTTTCTGTAAAATCTATGCTTTTTACGAAAGTGTTTGTTTGTTTTCTTTTTTATGCATTATTACACTTTTCATCAAATCGCCATGAAACTTTAGAAAGGTGGCACATGTTATTCGCTGATAAAACGAGCCGGGGCCGTGCCCGGCGCCCCTGCGGTCAAGTAGCCGGTGGCTCCCGAGAGAGCCCCGTGATTCTCCCATCACTTCCCCGAGGTGGTGACTAACATATGCTCATTAGTTTCATACATCACGCCATATGGCGTCTGGGTGGCATCGCATAACAACTAATATCTAAGAAATAAAGCGTCGGTATTGTTTACATTAAAATAACAGTTTTAAAAAACAAGGTTACGCATCTTAATTTGTTAATCTCCAAGCCCTATCCAAGTTGGTGGATAATAATCATCTTTATTGAAACCTCGTTCGAATACAAGACCCGGTGCAGGAAACTTGTTGTAGTAAATTGTCACTCCATTAGCTAGCCAAGCTGCCCACCATCCATAAGTTCCTGTAGTCATGACCATATGTGAGGTATTCGCGAAAATAGCCAAATGTATCATTGGTGAATTGGGACTGAGGACGGTGACGTCGGTAAAATTCAAATTTAATTTGCACCACTCTAGATCATCACTGCCAACTATAAATAGAGGGCGTTTAGGCAGAATAGATCTCATCACACTGAAAGCTTTAAGAAAATATGATTGATTTGCAACAACAGAACCTCTCTTTTGATTTTTTGCGTCAAGAAGATCTCCTCTTCTTACATGAACCCCAACGAAAGTACGATTTTTATAACTTTCTGACAGTTTCTTGTAAAACTCAACAGATTGTTCAGTAATATGAGGGAGAAAGGTAAATTCTCTTCTTATCTCTTCTTGTATGTGAGAGAAATATTTCCAGGACTGAAAATATCCTCTAAGAGAAATGTTGATATTTGGAAGATGAAAAAGATCAGGATCAAATGTTGCATATCTTCCAACATGTTTCAGTTCCCACCTGGAATAAAAGAGATAACAAATTAAAACTTGGTAATTCGATATATATTCCCAGGCCGTACTGAATAATATTTTTAGTTTCCTATGTAACTCTGTCAAAACAAAAAAACAGACATTTAAACTATATTTAAGCAGTGTTTTTCTTTATAGTAAAATGTGTGCTTGTTAAATAAAATATACAGACACTTGTATGTTGGCACCTTTACAACTTAGGTGTTCTGATAATGATGAAAAAATAAAAATAAAATCACAGACAAACTAATATACAGCTCACCTAGAAGTATTTATATTACTATTAACATAATTTAATTTAAAGGTTTGTCCAAGATGTTTCCCATCCTCAACAAAGGGCAATCTCATTTGTGCTTTTGCTATGCCCAACATTGCTGCATAAATAAACATCTGGTTTCCTAAGCGATATATAAGATTTTCTTTCCGAACTGTAACGTACAACGACTTTGAATGATTGGGAATCACTGTTGAATCATGATTTTTTGAACTTAAACTTGTCGTAGAAAACATAGCTTGTCTTTGTTTATCAAAAGATGTTTGCTTTAAAAAATCTGATAGAGTAGCTAATTCAGTTGATGATCTCGGTCTGTTTAAATCACAACTGAAAAATGTGATATCAAAAGCATTGTAAATTTAATAAGGAATATAAAAAACAAAACATCTTGCAATAGTATTACTTATACTTTAACTTATATATCTCTCTCACTTTCTCCTCTCTCTCTCTCTCTCTCTCTAGATATATATATATATATATATATATATATATATATATATATATATATATATATATATATATATATATGTATATAAAAATATATAACTATATATGTATATATATATATATATATATATATATATATATATATATATATATATATATATATATATATATATATATATATATATATATATATATATATATAACAATCTATGTGTGTGTGCGTGTGTCTGTTTCTGCGGAAAAAAAAACAATTTCAAAACATTCAAATAAATAGAATAAAAAAAACACACTAAAATAAAATATAATAAACCAAAAAAGAAATTAAAAAGAAAAGAAAAAACAAACATCAAAAGATAATAAATATATTATATATTTAGTTAATTCGTTATTATAAATTTTAATGCACTTACCTTAATTTTCTTATGAAAATAGTTATAGATACGAACATCAAAGATGAAAGTAGGAATAGCCATTTCTTTGGATTTAAAAAAGTCTTCATCTGTCATTGTCAAATTTCATACATAAAATTCAATTTTCATATAGTTAAACACCACATTGCATACTATAATAGAAATATTATATAAGAAATAAATAATTAAGTTTATGTTTATATTTGTGTCTGTGTCTATGCTTTGGCCACCGTCTTTGCCATTGATTGTGGATTGCCTGTGCCTGTGCCTGTGTCTGTCACTTTGTCTATGTCTATGTCTATGTCTATGTCTATGTCTATGTCTATGTCTATGTCTATGTCTATGTCTATGTCTATGTCTATGTCTATGTCTATGTCTATGTCTATGTCTATGTCTATGTCTATGTCTATGTCTATGTCTATGTCTATGTCTATGTCTATGTCTATGTCTATGTCTATGTCTATGTCTATGTCTATGTCTATGTCTATGTCTATGTCTATGTCTATGTCTATGTCTATGTCTATGTCTATGTCTATGTCTATGTCTATGTCTATGTCTATGTCTATGTCTATGTCTATGTCTATGTCTATGTCTATGTCTATGTCTATGTCTATGTCTATGTCTATGTCTATGTCTATGTCTATGTCTATGTCTATGTCTATGTCTATGTCTATGTCTATGTCTATGTCTATGTCTATGTCTATGTCTATGTCTATGTCTATGTCTATGTCTATGTCTATGTCTATGTCTATGTCTATGTCTATGTCTATGTCTATGTCTATGTCTATGTCTATGTCTATGTCTATGTCTATGTCTATGTCTATGTCTATGTCTATGTCTATGTCTATGTCTATGTCTATGTCTATGTCTATGTCTATGTCTATGTCTATGTCTATGTCTATGTCTATGTCTATGTCTATGTCTATGTCTATGTCTATGTCTATGTCTATGTCTATGTCTATGTCTATGTCTATGTCTATGTCTATGTCTATGTCTATGTCTATGTCTATGTCTATGTCTATGTCTATGTCTATGTCTATGTCTATGTCTATGTCTATGTCTATGTCTATGTCTATGTCTATGTCTATGTCTATGTCTATGTCTATGTCTATGTCTATGTCTATGTCTATGTCTATGTCTATGTCTATGTCTATGTCTATGTCTATGTCTATGTCTATGTCTATGTCTATGTCTATGTCTATGTCTATGTCTATGTCTATGTCTATGTCTATGTCTATGTCTATGTCTATGTCTATGTCTATGTCTATGTCTATGTCTATGTCTATGTCTATGTCTATGTCTATGTCTATGTCTATGTCTATGTCTATGTCTATGTCTATGTCTATGTCTATGTCTATGTCTATGTCTATGTCTATGTCTATGTCTATGTCTATGTCTATGTCTATGTCTATGTCTATGTCTATGTCTATGTCTATGTCTATGTCTATGTCTATGTCTATGTCTATGTCTATGTCTATGTCTATGTCTATGTCTATGTCTATGTCTATGTCTATGTCTATGTCTATGTCTATGTCTATGTCTATGTCTATGTCTATGTCTATGTCTATGTCTATGTCTATGTCTATGTCTATGTCTATGTCTATGTCTATGTCTATGTCTATGTCTATGTCTATGTCTATGTCTATGTCTATGTCTATGTCTATGTCTATGTCTATGTCTATGTCTATGTCTATGTCTATGTCTATGTCTATGTCTATGTCTATGTCTATGTCTATGTCTATGTCTATGTCTATGTCTATGTCTATGTCTATGTCTATGTCTATGTCTATGTCTATGTCTATGTCTATGTCTATGTCTATGTCTATGTCTATGTCTATGTCTATGTCTATGTCTATGTCTATGTCTATGTCTATGTCTATGTCTATGTCTATGTCTATGTCTATGTCTATGTCTATGTCTATGTCTATGTCTATGTCTATGTCTATGTCTATGTCTATGTCTATGTCTATGTCTATGTCTATGTCTATGTCTATGTCTATGTCTATGTCTATGTCTATGTCTATGTCTATGTCTATGTCTATGTCTATGTCTATGTCTATGTCTATGTCTATGTCTATGTCTATGTCTATGTCTATGTCTATGTCTATGTCTATGTCTATGTCTATGTCTATGTCTATGTCTATGTCTATGTCTATGTCTATGTCTATGTCTATGTCTATGTCTATGTCTATGTCTATGTCTATGTCTATGTCTATGTCTATGTCTATGTCTATGTCTATGTCTATGTCTATGTCTATGTCTATGTCTATGTCTATGTCTATGTCTATGTCTATGTCTATGTCTATGTCTATGTCTATGTCTATGTCTATGTCTATGTCTATGTCTATGTCTATGTCTATGTCTATGTCTATGTCTATGTCTATGTCTATGTCTATGTCTATGTCTATGTCTATGTCTATGTCTATGTCTATGTCTATGTCTATGTCTATGTCTATGTCTATGTCTATGTCTATGTCTATGTCTATGTCTATGTCTATGTCTATGTCTATGTCTATGTCTATGTCTATGTCTATGTCTATGTCTATGTCTATGTCTATGTCTATGTCTATGTCTATGCCTATGCCTATGCCTATGCCTATGCCTATGCCTATGCCTATGCCTATGCCTATGTCTATGCCTATGCCTATGCCTATGCCTATGCCTATGCCTATGCCTATGCCTATGCCTTTGCCTATGCCTATGCCTATGCCTATGCTAATGCGTATGCCTATGCCTATGCCTTTTCCCATGTCAATGCCTACATACATTCCTATGCGTATGTATTTCCTTATACCTATGCATGTAGACGTAGACGAACATATATACGAGTGCTTTTACATGTGAAGGCAAAAGTGAACTTAAAGGCTTTTACATATTTGTTTAATTTTTTAAGTGTAAGCCTATGAATATTTTTGCTATTGTGTATTTCTCCTCTATCCATACAAAAAAGTTATAAACTTACCAACATGATTTTTAAGATCAGTACAGTCAACTCGTCTTTAATAACATTTAATAAGCACTACATCTATAAGTCCGATGTATAGTACAGAATTTGAGGTAAATCCGGCATACTTTTTTTTAACCATCGCGACAGAAATAGACCGCGCTGGTTTGCTACCGCTTTAAAAGCCTGTTGCTTTTTTCATAGCTGCCTGTTAGTAATAACTGGGGGAACTTATTAAATGTCCTTACATTTTTAAAATCATTTGGTTACCTTTTTTTAAGCCAGTCTGAAATCCAAATTACAAAATTTAAATTCATTAGATATATTCAGCCTTTCGCTTCTATAACGTTTCATAACGCAATAATCATATAATAAAACTAATATTAAATAACACAACTTTTAAGCTACGAGTTAATTCCATTAGAGTACTTCTTATGTACTATTGGTCTATTTATTAGGGCTACAACCGTCCATGTATGATGTCATATTCAAGTCTTTGCGCAGACAGATAGTTGTAACTTGTGTGGATTGGGTAAAGGGAAATGTTATAATAATTTAAAATAGGTGTTATAATTTTTTTTAAACTTTCAAAATGTAAATTTTTAATGTATACTTGTTTATACATAAGTAATTTTGACACTATTGTTTTTTGAAAGAAATCTTTGTTTCTAAAGCAAAGTTTACATTAATGGCTTAAGTTGAAAGTTGACATTTTTGGTAGAGGGTCTGATAAACCCTTTTCTATGGATTTTTTTCAAGAAGGGAGGGGTTTAAAATCGTCATAACAGCGGGACTGTAATAATGTACGACATCACAGAGCCATCATAATGAAGCATACAAACACACGAAACTCTACATATTATTTCCTAACTAGTAAAAATACTAATTTTAAATCAAGCGATTTAAAAATTGATAACTAATTCAAAGATTACTATAATCGAAATGACCTAAGTATGTAGTAGGCATACATAAAACCACCGGCAGGAATAAAATAAGAAACAGTATTGCAGCTGTAAAAACTAATTAATCGTATACAATAACCACGCTGCTATGAAAATAAATGTTCGGATACATATTTTATACCAGATATATTAAAATTAACCTTAATACATGGTTGATCAGAAAACAGTAAAAATAGTCGATTAAAAATAATTCAACGTTTTAACGTTAAATACATTCAAAATTCTCCTATATTACCTAATGAATTTACAAACAACAAATAAAGTTTGCTAGCTTGGTCTTTCTACAGATCTAAAATAATATAGAATTTGATGTAATATAACAAACTAACAAACTCGAATATGTATACACAGACACAGACATATATATATATATATATATATATATATATATATATATATATATATATATATATATATATACAAGCATTATTATTTTAACGCTGGCAATGCATACTACGTTATATTATGACATAACTGATCAGAAGTTTACGATTTTTCTACTCGGATTAAAAAATGCGTGTCGTTTTACGATGTAAAAAATCTAACTTACGAAGATCAAAGCCATGTTTCTATCTAAACGTTTTCCTTATTTGGACTTGATATTTTATATAGGAACCAGTGGCGTAGCGAGGTCGGGTGTCACCCGGTGCGGCACTTAATGGTGTCACCCCCCAGAGGCATAGAGACCCTTCCCAGGGACAAACTTTCAAATTTTCGATTTGCACCCCACCCCTCAAACTTTCGATTTGCACCCCCCCCCTCAAGTTTTTGATTTGCACCCCCCCCCCCTCAAAATTTCGATTAGCACCCCCCCCCTCGAGTTTTTCTCTATATATTTTGCTATTTTTTGCCTTGGTGTCACCCCCCTAAATGGTGTCACCCGGTGCGGTCCGCACCCCCCGCCCCCCCCCCCCCCCCTCGCTACGCCCCTGATAGGAACCAAGCCAAGCGTATAATTTTACGTGACTCCGTTGCTTATAGTTTCACGGCCACACCCAACTTCTTTCGAAGTATAATGCTTGTATATTTTGAAAGCAATTCAAAAGTATTAGTGGTACATAATTAACTATTTATAATTTTCAAGGTTAGTAGAACTAGTAAAAAAATTGGTGGAATTTATATCTAGAACGATTAGAGCATATTTATCAAGTTATGTATGTTGAAGAAGTTATTGTTATTAACGAAAACAGTAAACGGATAACTAAATTTGATCAACTTTTATACTTCCAGCTACCTTCTTTTCCACAGACGTCATTACTCTGATGTGTGGCAGAGTCACGTCTGGGAGAGGATATAGTAGGCATATAACTGACCCAACTATCTATTAACATGAGGAAATAAAAAAAACAGATTAAGTCCACGTCTTCAGCCTTATTGACAGCCAGTACTGGAAAGGTAACAACATATTAATTATTATTTTGTTTGAAATTATTTGATTTAATAAAAACAAACGTTTTTTTTTTACAATAATAAAGATTTTTTCGACGTTGTTAAAATACATGTTTCCCAGAAATGTAGGCTATTCTGTTCTGCCCCTTGACATAACCTTCCATATTAAACATATATATATATATATATATATATATATATATATATATATATATATATATATATATATATATATATATATATATATGCATAATAGCCTTATGTCATGGGTTATATGTCTAAGATGTTATTTAACTGGACAACTATATAAAAGACAAAACTGAATACTCTATAACTAAACAAGCATGTTTTATTTTTAATTGCGAATACATAAAATAGCAGTTGCTTTGGCAGAAAAATAATTTAGTTTGTGTTGTTCAGATGATATTTAGTATTTGTAAATTAACTTGAGAAAGTTTAATTAATTTCAAAATGCCCATTTATATATATATATATATATATATATATATATATATATATACATATATATATATATATATATATATATATATATATATCAGTGGTTCTAAACCTTTGAATGTATCGAACCCCAACAGATTCACCTCATCATTCTTAATATGAAGAAAAAATATTGTTTTGGTTAAATTCAAATGATATTTATTTATTTTACTGATGCACAAAATGTAACACATTATATATACATATACACACATTATATATATATATATATATATATATATATATATATATATATATATATATATATATATATATATATATATATATATATATATATATGTACACTCCTGATGTATTTTCAGGTATACCGAGTAGTAAAAGAGAATGAACTTTATACGTAACGCAAAGTTGTCTTTTCTGATGATAAATGTGTTGATGTTTTCATTTTTGGTTTTCTTCCTATTGTACTTGAAGTATGTACATCCATTAATTGCAATGTGTTGCCTAATATATGAGGAAATTAAAAATTAAAATTTAATTGGGATTTAAAATGTTTGTCTTTCAGATACAGTAACGACGTTTTTAGAATATCCGTTGCAGATGTCTCTCAACCATCATCCATAATCAAGACGCATAAAAAAATCAACCGAATACAAGACGAATTAATAGAATATTATATTGGAGATCAGATGTTTGTGTACGCTTCAGTGTTAGGAATCGCTAGAACTAAAAATAGAAAACCACTAATCGATGGAGCTGGAACTTTGCAGCGGATATTTCAAATATCCTATAATAAAAATAATGTACATATTCTCAGGTTTGTCAATTCGAAAAAATTAAAAATAATAGAATACCTAAGTCACAAGATATATTTATAAATGAGCTTAGCTAAGTTTTCTTAATGTAGAAGAAGGGTTTCATAGGTTTGTCTGGTTTAAACAAGTTTTGTTATTTAATTATATTTTAGGTGGAGTGAATTAAGACACCCCAACAGCACGATCTTTCAAAATGAAACATTGCAGCTACCACAAAGTAACATCACACTTAGGGGACATTTTCGATCGATGACATTTTTTTATCAGGTCGAAAAAGAAATTCGGAGAGAATTCACATTTCAACCGGAACTTCAAGAAATAGCGATTGAATTCCATAGAAATATTAAGAGTGCATATCCATTGGTAACTATTGTTGGTCTACATGTATACAGAGAGAAAACCCGCAGATCAATAAACACAAATTTAAATGTAGCACCACTGTCTTACTATATTAAAGCTGTGAAGTTAATGAGCACGTTGATATCCAGCAGAGCTATGTTCATCGTCAGTAGTGACGATCCGCAGTGGTGCAGGAATAATTTAATTATTCAGCAAGAAGTGATATTTCTCGACGCAGGTATGCCTGAAGTACATTTAGCTATATTAGCTAGAACAACCCATATAATCATCTCGACTGGATCATATGGGTGGTGGGCAGCTTGGTTAGCTGATGCAGTGACAGTCTATTACAATAGAAAAACTCAGGAATCATCAGACACCAATTACTTTCCTAGCAATTGGATTGGTATTGGCAATTAAAAAAACTATATTTATATATATATATATATATATATATATATATATATATATATATATATATATATGTATATATATATATATATAATTTATGAATTTGCTACATTATAATCAAAACAATGTCATATCAGTGTCTAAAAATTGACCATATTATAAGAATACTTATTAATGATAGATAGTTCAATAAATTAATTGTATTTTATACGTCAAAAGAGTTGCTACAGGGCGAAGAATATTGAAATGATTTTGAATGATTTAAATAATCACATACATATATTATATATATATATATATATATATATATATATATATATATATATATATATATATATATATACATATATATATAAATATATATATATATATATATATATATATATATATATATATATATATATAGAGAGAGAGAGAGAGAGAGAGAGAGAGAGAGAGAGAGAGAGAGAGAGAGAGAGAGAGAGAGAGCGAGAGAGAGAGAGAGAGAGAGGTGGGGGAGAGAGATTTGAGATAAAAAAGATATAGAAATACCTACATAATTATTTTCCACATGCCATATACAACAGCAAACCTAAGCATTAATGAATTGTGATTATTAAAATGCACCTAATTCGCTCCCGCCTTTTTTAAAACGTCGAGATAAGGTGTTTTTTTTTGCCAAACTAATCGATAAGAAGCAATTAAAAATGCTTAGGTATATCCCATATGAGAGAGCAAATAAAATTTTCGTATATAAATGATATCTACACTGTCTGTTAACAACAACTGCAAACTTTATTTTAAACTGTCAAAGCCTTGTACAGTTATTTACAGTTGCGTAACATGTTTTTTGTCAAAATGTAATGTTTCGCCCGAAACTGTCGGGACATATTACAGAGGTTTATATCTAATATATAAATAAGGTCAAAATTGATTGTAAAACTCCTACAATAATACAATTTAGTCTAAACTGGATTAGACAGATATAATAATGTATTGCAAAACAAACCACTTGTATTTTGCAAAAAAAAAAAAAAGAAAGCAAGACTATTCTGCTAGCATAAAATTTCCCTAAAATAAAATTCTTCAAAACTCATCTCAAGTACAGTGTATAATTTTTGAGGGGGGGGGGGGGGGAGCCGAGAGTGCACCATTATAAGAGATACCAATTTTTTTAACAGTATTTGACAAAAGAATGGGGAACTCCACCTATATGGTAAAGATCGTCAAAACGAGTGGCGCTTTTATCAAGCATATTTATAGGGTGTGTTTTTTCAAGGCAAGATTTTACTGTTTTAGAATGGAGCAGAGATCAAGAAATCTCAACCAGATCATACACCACTTGTCCGAAAAGGGTAAAACTGCTGGTTTGTAATGCTGCCAGTGTTAATTCCAGGCTTATGTCTCCGTGGGAGTATTTGAAACTTCCCCCCTCCCCTTCCCCTTAAGAGAAAACTGAAAGAAATTCTGTATGCTACATTTCTAACAAATGGAAATTATGAAATATAATGAAGATGATTCTCTTAATGTAAGGAGTTCGCCTTCATCACAATACAAGTGCTGAATCACAATTATAAAAGTAAACCGGCCATGTTTACATTTTAAACAAAATGCAAATGTAACGAGTATTTAATATCTTTATAATAATAAGCTTTAAGTGCATTGAACACAGGAAATTAAACACTGGTACAAACAAAAAGACATTGTGAAATACATAAAAACGTATCAGATATAAATTTCACAGGGCAGTAACAATATGTTGTCGATTAATAAGACAAACTAAAAAAAAAACAAGGAGACTGTGCCAGAAAACTATAGGCTTCATCAGATCAAAAAAATAATATAACTCTCGTGTTTTATAAATTATCTCACAATAGATAAGCGAGTAATATAAAAAACTTTAGATGTGATGAACATTGTAATTGAAGTTATTTATAAAATATTTTTCTACAAAGTTAAAGAGTCTTTGTTTAAGTGGTTAATACAAAGAATTTTCAATTTTAATAAGGTATCCTTGAAAAAAATAGATAAAAAGATACTTTTATATTTGCTAATATTAGATGTTTCTTTCTTTACATTCTTTTGCTTTTTATAAAAAGATTTTCTCCAGCTAGTTCAATGTTGGAAAATATAACATTTTCAAACAACTAACAGCCGGTCTTTTCACAAAAGAGGGCGAGGCGCTTAATTTCACGCAACCCACTTTCATAGCACGCCTTCACAATGTTCAGGTCGTCTCAGTCCATTCCAACTGTGTTTGCTGTATTAAGGGTTGAAGAATTATTCAAAAGTAGTATTTAAATATTTAAGTTCGTTAAAATAAATATAAGTTTTATGTAAATAGGCGTTAATAGAAATGATGTATAATAGAAAGCACTGCGTATATCTTCAGAGGTGACCTCAAATAGTTTCGTTAATTCCGGATAGAAAAAGAATTAATAGATTTAACAGCCAACTATTATAAAGAAGAAAAATGATGTGAAAACTTATATTAAATACATGAAATTTGCGCACTTTTCGTTAAAACGCAAGAGGCATTAAATGCGTAGTATACAATCTAACACATGCTTTTGTTGTTACTCTCAGAATCCACTATTACGTAAATCCATTTTCTACACTCTCTTGCCTAGCAATTAAGATCTAATTTGATAATTTAAGATTACCATCTAACATTAAATTTGTAAAAGACTAAATCGCATATCATACTTAGGAAGGCAGAAAAGGTAAAAAACAGTCATATTCTATACAGTTTGTCTCACGCCGATTAAATTTGAAGACGTAACACCTACTTATTTAAGTATGATTTTTGTTAGAGAACGGTACCAGATAAAGAAAAACAAATACAAACTATACTATTCCAATCATTATACAAAATGCAATATACATTTTTAAAATTATTTTAAAGAGTTTTAATAACCTACATATTATAAAAGTAGAGGCATTTTAATATTTCTAAAACATGTAGTCATATTTTTAAAATAATAGAACTGTTTTAATTAAACAACGATTTTAAGACACTAAATCATATATATACACATAAAATTAAAAACGCCAAAAACAATCACACTCGCTTACAAAAACTTAAGTCCTACATTTGTTTATTTTAGAGAGTTAGTAACGTAACTAACGTTTAAATAAGATAATCACTTTAAAAAGTCAATGCTTTGTTTAGTAAATATATAGTTTTTGAAATAGAAGTATGTATATTTTAACTGTCACTACTAGTAATAAAAAGAAAGATATAAGTATGTAAAAATAAATTAAATTAATTTTAGATGTAATTTTTATACTAATAACCTACATCATTTTAAAAAGCAATACATGAAGTTGTTATGCATTTTCTTCACCTGAATTATAAAATGTTTAAAAATGAATATTAATGATTTTCTCTCAACATACGCGTTAAATGATCGAATAATTGTTATCGAAATCTAAAGAGTGAATGACTGCATTTTAAATAATAAACTAAATTATCAAATATATGTATATATATATATATATATATATATATATATATATATATATATATATATATATATATATATATATATATATATACATATATATATATATATAGTTCTATTTAAATACATATTATCTGATTGTTACATCGTGGATAGGAGCAAATTATTTTATGTCTGTTATTTTTAAATGTCGATTTTAACTTTTTAATTCTTTGATTTTACATTGATCATGAAACATTTGCAATACGTTAGGGTGCTCCTTGTAATATTGTAATGGACAACCTTAGTACTCTACGAGATGAGATGTGTAATTATAGACTCCTCTCTCTCTCCCCTACCGTTATTGAATAGAACAGTTTACATTCATCGCGTCACACAGCACATGAAAAGACTTTTTACTTCGATAGTTGTTACAGTAGGTATTAGAAGTTAACATGCAGTAAAGGCTACTTTTAGCTAATAAAGTTTACATAATTGATCAATATATTGTATTATTTGTTATTTACATTATAATTAAAATAAAATAGAAAACGTGAACTCAAGGACACATGCTTGTATAGAGGGCAAAAATAAAACATGAAAACGTACAGAAAATGTAGCATGTTAATCACAGTTACATCTCTATGGATCGTGTTAATTTTTCATGTTAAAAAATGTACAAGGTCAGAAGAGAAACGATTTACACACATTCATAAAGATACTGAGAGGTAAGAAACAGTTTCTATTGATTGCGAGTTTTAAAATCAAAACGTGCCAATGTATAATATATATTTCAATTGTCTTTATAGTTATAAGAAAAATTGAAATATTTCACCAATAATATGTGTTCAAAATATAGTGTGGTTTTCTTGATCTCGGCTTCCCATTCTTTTCTATGTGATTGTATTTTCGAAAACCTTTTTCAAAAACCTATTTCTTACATTTCTGGGTGAGAGATTCATTAACTTTTATGAAAATACTAAGAAATATATGGCATATTAGGATGCTAATTTGATCTAAAAGTTAGCTGAACGTAATGTTTATTTATCTATTAATTAATTAGAGATAACCATACTAAATACAGGCTATTCAAGTTTGATAAGTGGATAGTCGTTACATCAATAGCAAGCCCAACAGAGCAAGTGAAGTACCTTGCTAAGATGAAAGACTGGCGTTTGGTTGTTGTTGGGGATTTGAAGTCGCCTTCAGTATGGAGGTGAGATGATTTTTTAAAAGTAAATTACAGCATTTATATTTATTTAACATAAAACATTACGGGTTCAATGTTCGAAACAAAATACAATCAGGAATATAAGTTTCTAATTAAACATGAAATTTAGAAAGTTTAACAAATTAGTTATTAAATTTTTAAATACTCTTTACACACTAAGGACATTTCTAAAAATCTCATCTGACACTTGAGCAAAATTAATTAAATCATTACACCAGTTTTAAGACTTTTGTAACTTTTTAGACTTGTTTCTATGTTTATTTTCTAAGTGCACCGAGGGTCAAAGTGAAAGGAACAAAATTAAGTTTTTTCGGAAACATCAGTATTATTTTTGTTGTATTAAAAATGTAAATAATTTACTATTTCACATTTGTGATTATCTTTCACATCACTGCAGTTTACAAGGCTGTGATTATCTCAGTGTTGAGACACAGAAGCAGCTGGGCTTTGCTATAACAGATCACTTACCGTATGGAAGCTACGCTAGAAAAAACATTGGCTACCTGTATGCAATACAGCATGGAGCCAAGGTCATTTACGAAACTGATGATGACAACAGGTGTACCACTTCAAAATAAATCCTTATTTCTTTCCGATTGAATATTCTTTTAGAATTTCTAATATTTGTTTTAAATCAATAACCTAATAGCTTAAACTGAACTAAGTGAATCTCTTCATTGATATATATATATATATATATATATATATATATATATATATATATATATATATATATATATATATATATATATATATATATATATATATATATATATATATATATATATATATATTTATTTATTTATTTATTTATTTCTATATATATATATATATATATATATATATATATATATATATATATATATATATATATATATAAATATATATATATATATATATATATATATATATATATATATATATATATATATATATATATATATATATATATATATATATATATATATATATATATATATTTATTTATTTATTTATTTATTTATTTATTTATTTATTTATTTATTTATTTATTTATTTATAAGTATGTATGAATGCATATATATTTACGTACATATATTTATGCTAAGTATTTTAAATATATATATATATATATATATATATATATATACATATATATATATATATATAGAGAGAGAGAGAGAGAGAGAAAGAGAGAGAGAGATAGAGAGGGAGAGATAGAGAGAGAGTTTGATTTAATTTTTAAATTCTAATATTTTTAGAAAAAAAACATTAGCTTTTACTGTACAAGTAATTAATTTACATTTTGAAAAACTACTTTCAGACCCAATGATAACTTAAAAGGTTTTGTTTTAACACCCTCTACGCCTGGACTGATGTTTGTTGGAAACAACGTTTTTAACCCCTACCTTCACTTTGGGCAGTCAACGCTGTGGCCCAGAGGTTTCCCACTTTCTTACATTGGCAAAAAACAACAAAGATTGTACAAGTAAGAAAACTTTTGAAAATATATTAGTTATAAATTAGTTACTTATTATGATTAATTCAAAGTTATGTAACTAAAATTATTGATCCAATTTCTAGAATCAGCAGCAGTTGGGACACACCAACAATTCAACAAGGTTTAGTTAATGGCGATCCGGATATGGATGCTATTTTTAGACTGTCCAGGAAATCAGAATCTACTCCTTTAAATGTGACCTTTGACCCATTAGCTCCCCCTGCAATATTACCTGAGGGTGTATTCAGCCCTTTTAACTCACAGAACACATTATTTCACGATGCAGCTTTTTGGGCACTTTTTATTCCAACAACAACGACATTCCGCATGTGCGACATCTGGAGAGGATATTGGGCACAAAGACTTATGTGGGAGATTGGAGGAACACTTGGCTTTTTCCCTGCTAACGCCTACCAGGTACGGAATTCACATTCTTACATCGAAGACGCCAAACAGGAGAAGGACATGTATTTCCAAACCGAAGAACTTATCGAGTTCCTGGGAAATTGGAAATGCGAGACCACATTTTCATTTTTTCAATGTGTTGTTCAGCTGACCTCTGACATGGCAGATCAGAAGTATTGGAAACACGAAGATGTAAATTTGGTCAGATTGTGGCTACTTGATCTAAAAGAACTTGGATACCAAGAGCCGGAGAGGGTTCAGTTGAATGGATTCAGTTGGAATACAGAAGACAGTTATTTATATGGAAATACCATCACTACTACGGGCCGTGTAAATGAGAATAGATCGTTACTCAACAACGTATGGTATTCATCAGTAGAACAAGAGAAGCCTTCATTAAATCAAGAAACCAGCAATAAGAAAAGAACAAGCGCGATCTTAGATAAGATGGTGTCAATGTGCGCAAATTCGAAACATAATCCTTTAAAAAATGTGTATAATCCACACCCGAAAAATGCTCAAGTCTTTTCAGATACATTGCTTGTTGTAATTTTTAACTTCCCATTTTACAAGAATGTTAAATACTTAGATGCTATCCACAGTCAAGTTTTTAAGTACATAGTCTACTGTGGTGAGAACATCAATTTATTTCTACAAGAAACCGGTGATCTGGGTAAAACGTTAACTTTTATTGAGGCTTTTGTTGACAAGGGGATTTTCGGTTATATGTGTGCGGTCAAAGCTATGGAGATGGGATACAGAGTTAGCGGCTTTTTAGTAGCTGGTGATGACGTCCTTCTTAAGCCTTGGGTATTGATGAATATGAAAAAAGACCATGCAGGCATAACACACCATGCTAAATTTTACATGAACACATCAGAAACTACAAGTCACTGGACGTGGTGGGGTAGAAAAGTTGGTAGACAGGCATTTTTAAAAACCTTAGAGTATTTCAAAAATATTTCAAATACCCCAGTGGGAGTTAAAAGCATCAGAAATTTCTTAGATACGTTACTAACACATACAAATTCCACGGAACTTGTGCCAAAAGGATACAGTGATTTGTATTATATTCCCAAAACAATGCAAAAGTCTGCCATTTGGTATTTGACAAAGTTTCATTTGAACGATTTATTCTTAGAGCTAGCTTTACCTGTCATGTTTTGCGGGTTGGAATCAAAAGGACAATTACAATGGTTTCGTGGACCAAGTGGTAGACATGTTATGGAGAATTTGAAAAAGCATTATTTAACAGCTCATACGTTTATTCATCCGGCGAAATTATCCTTTCCAGATACCGTGAATATTTATTGCAATCATTATTTTCCTGAGTTGCTAGAGAAATATTTTGAATATCAATAAAAGTGTATTAAATAAATCAAGATTGAAGCTACATTTACAAATACAGCTGCAAATCTACTAAATTATAAGGTCTCAAAAATTTTCGTTAGAAATTCAAATATGTAAAATAAATTTGAGTCAATCACTGTACGAACTGTAAAAAAAAGTTTGCTTTAGAAATATGTATTGTTTTGAAACGACTAATGCATGCCCTAAATCAGTTTGGTCCTCACATTGAGTTTTTTAATCTTAAAAAGTACATACCTTGCCATGGTATAGGTTAAACCGGTAACAATTTGATTAAGTATACCCATACAATGAAAAGAGTTTCTAGTTGTTGCAAACGTTGAATAAATCTCTTTGAGCGCTAAAGACCACTTTTGTCATAATTTCATAAAATGTGGGTTTGTTTATACATTTTGTTGGTTGGGGAAACACTATAAATTGGCACAAAGGGTAACATTTGACTTAGTGATGCTACTGGTTCCAATATAGCAAGACATATACGTGTTTTATGAGTATACATAATGTTCTACAAGTTTACATGTAAATATAAGCACTTTCGCTATGTTAAGGCATAGAAAAGGGGGGGGGGGAATTGGTTGAATAGTTGTTTTTTTTTATTTAGTGCATACATGTGTATTATCATACAAATACTACAAGTATTTTTCTATTATGTTTCAGCATTTTGTTAATGTATTAATTTTATTTTATGGTTGATTAGAATGATTTTTGCTATGTTTTGTAAAATAAAATTAATATGTATATAAACCAAGTGTGTAATAAAATGTATCTGTATTCAGATTTGATATCAAAGACGAACAATATTAAAAAGGCTTTTTTTAAAGATAAATATAAGATAATGACAACGCTTCGGAAGGTTTGGTTGGGTGATAGAACGCACGACCGCTAAACCAAATGTTGTCAGTTCGGATCATGGATTCATGTACGTAGGAGTTTTGTTGGTTAACCTAGCTCTGAAGGGTACGCGACGTAGGCAGAGAAATAGTAGAAACCTACTTCTTGTATCATGTGACTGGCTGAGGATGATAGGGTGGCATTAAAACAATGGTCGAGGACTATTTTCCTTATCGTGTCCATCAGATTCGTAATAATGATCTCTTAAGGTTTTTTTTTCTATTATAAAAAATAAACTATACTTGGTTTCAGCAAGAAATATATTTTATTCTAATAAAACAATTTATGTTGAAACAAAGAGCACTGTTGAGTTTGTGTTGAATGAGTGTTATTGGCAAATGGAAACATGCAATTTTATCCTTTCTATCATTCTTTGATCTGCAATGAAAAGGTCTTTAATATGATGTGTATTTTTGGTGGTTGCGTCACCTTCTAATTATGATAGAGTAATACAGGGGCGTAGCGAGGGAAGGGGGGCGGGGGTGCAGACCGCACCGGGTGACACGATTTAGGGGGGGTGACACCAAGGCAAAAAATAGCAAAATATATAGAGAAAAACTTGAGGGGTGGTGCAAATCGAAAGTTTGAGGGGGGGGGGTGCAAATCGAAAACTTGAAAGTTTGTCCCCGGGAAGGGTCGCAACGCCTCTGGGGGGGGGGGGGGTGACACTATTAATGCCGCACCGGGTGACACCCGACCTCGCTACGCCACTGGAGTAATATATCACGCATGAATTGATTTTGCTTAGTAATTCGGTGAGCATTTATTTAAAAACTTCTCAGAAACTTTTCAGTCAGTAAAAAGGTTGAATCTTTATTTTCGTGAATAAATTAAAAAACAAATTGGAAGGTGTATGCTGAGAAATAAAAAATGTCAGGTTTAAAATCGTTATAAAAAGTTGACTCCTTAGGGGTCCTAACACGAGACTTACATGAACGTATGTGCTATATTAATTTAAAATTGTATCAATTACATTGCAATCAAAGATTGATTAACTTAACAGTCACTGAGATATTCGAATGCACCATTTTGTACTGAAATAAATAATACTTTAAAGCAGATAAAAATATAACAAAACGAAGAAGTGCTAAACAACAGATGTATTATGACTTATATATTAGGTTAAAGCTGAAATGGATGAGCTAAAAAACATAATAAAAAATTATAACATATTTTGGTTTCGAAAAGTTGACAGCGTCAAAGTACAAAAACTCTTTTACATCCTTCCCCACCTTTTCCTAAGTCTGACATCAAACAGCCTTAAAAATGTGTTATTTCAGGACTTATAAGTAAAAACGGCAGAAAAAAATACTCGTTTAACCTTATAAATTGTTTGCGAGAGGATTAAAGCGGATTCTAAAATGCATATATTGCTATCAATTGCAATCAAAGCGGCCAACAAATTAGATTTTTAATCAAAGAAAAATGCCCCATTTATAATTTGAAAAATCATGCATTTCAAATTAATACTAAAACTAGTGTGGATAACTTGCACAAACAAATGTACAAACATACACACACACAGACACACCCACTCACAGACACACACACAGACATACACACACACACACATACACACACATCATTTTATCCACCTCGATGAGGCTTTTTTTCTTTAAAATATTTGCTCTTAGTTATAAATTAATTTTACCCCTCGTCTTTCCAGGTTGGAGCTTTAAATAGTGCACAGCTAGTAGTTTAATGGATGTTTAACTATGGTCGGTTAATACAACAACATACAACATTGTTTTCTCTTTAGTTAGCATATTAACGTCAAATTGTCATCCCCCTCCCTTCCACCCCCACACACATGTCGGAATTCGTCAGTTTGTACATACAAGACTATTTGACGATAATTAATCATGAACTAGACTTGAAGAATCATTTCTCTTCAGTATATTTAGCTATTATTTTGTGCCTTGATTTTACCACCTTAAATTGTGTTCACGCGTGATCCCTTCCCTCGCCTCTAAATCAATAATAAAAAGAATATGATTATGATTTAGACGTTTTTGTACGTTTATTAACATTACACATTTCACCCTTGTTGATAGTTTAGTCCTTAAATTCACTAATTTCAGGCATAAACATAGTTTTGTTTGTCAACTCTAGTTTATCAGTTCAGTGGTTGTCACGTAAACTGACTGACTTACTCCACGTGTTTTCTTTTATGACCTCTGAGGAACAAATGGCTGAAGCCACGGTTTTGAGCAGCTATATTTATTTGTGCCAACGTAAGCCCTCAGCCCTTGTCTCGTCTTCTAAGGTCCTCATCTAGAATCTCCTTGGCCGGTCTACCATACTTTTCCCCTGGGGATTCCAATATAAAGCTTTCCTCGAGATGTTATCCTCTCCCCTTCTCAGGTTATGGTCAATCCATCCCCACAGCGGGTTATTGTCTATGGGCTGTAGTTAGGAGATATCCACAGGTCTTAATTTGATATTTTGTCTAGCCATCTGTCGTAAACATCTGTTTGTGAATGACTACAACATGTGTGTATTTGTTTTGATAACTCCCCAAGTCTCCGACCCATAAACCGATACTGCTTAAACATTTGTGTTGAAGATTCTAATCTTGCTCTGGGTTGACTAGACTGTGCAAAATTCCAAGTGATGTAAACTAGGTTTTATACATTATTTTTACTGATGCACAGAGAAAATGCAGCTACTTCTATACAAACAAAGTGAGGCCTATGAATAGGATCGGGTATTAGCAGGAAAGTTTCAGATGTATTGTTATTTGTTAAGGGCGATATACAACATGACCGGGAAAACTAGTCAACTCAGTAATCGCGTTTGAAGTTAGTGAAATTGACCAAGGCGTGGTAAAACTTTACATTTTTTAATGCTTTAATTAGAAAGACCATTTGCAAATGCAAAACAAAAATTGATATTTTGTAAGGAGATAGCTCTGGTGCAATAGGCACAATACTAGATTCCCAGAAATGTAGATTAATGATTTAAAAAACTAACTCATTTGACCTCTAAATTTTACAAATAAAATGGACGTGATCCAAACTTTAAATTTCCGCCGTTCTTTGAGTACATACGCACACACACATACACATAGAGACATTCACAAACATACACACATACGCACTCACAAATACACGAAGAAAACTATTGGATAAAAGTAAAATTCGTTTAAAAATTGTTTTCAAATCGCTGTAAAAAAATTATTTAAAATTGACTTATAATTTATATTGGATTAATGGATGATGTAAACAAAGCAAATACGTCACAGATAAAGAATGTATTGGCGGAAGTACAAGGGTTTTTACGTTTAAATAATGCAATTCAAATTTATTTTTAACACTGCTATTCAATAGGTGGAGAGGTTATTTAGTACTAAGCATTGAAAAAACTCAAAGAAAGAGAAATCTATTTTTATTGCAAAATATAAAAGGTAATCATTTGCAACATTAGTATTTAATACGATGCGTTTCCCGCTACTTTTGTTTCAATATCCATATTTTATCATACTAAATGTGGTTATGATGTGTGTGTATATGGGGTAGGGGGTGGGGTGGTGCAACGCTAAAATGTATATAGAGGTGTTGTGGCCTACAGTATATTACATAACATTACTTAATGAGGTTGGAACATTGACTCCCTCCCGTTAATTAGCATCCCCCCCTGGTCATTTTACCAATTTTATTACCCTTAGATCAATGAACCTTAGCATGAACCCCCACCACTCAGGACCTTAAACCGACCCAAAAATCTGCATGACATTACCTACCAGATAGCGGTAATTGTAAAGACAGGACATAATAGAAAATAGAATGTCAGTTAAAATATTTTACCTCAATACGCTTCAAATAACTTGTCTTAAAATAATTGAAGCGTATTGAGGTAAAATATTTCACCTATATTTTTTATAAATTGTAAAGGTCTCGCGCGGAGCCAAGAAGCATTAGATCTTCCCACGGGAACAGAATTATTTGACGTAAATGCTTAGTTTAAGTAAACAGAAAAAGCAACGAAAGAATTATATACGATTTCATTTTAAAAGAAATTCAAAACTGTATCCATCTATGTGTGTCTAGTGTCAAAAGGGAATTAGCGCGAGACATCAAATAACTTAACAGTCTTTCAGCGTTGCATTTAACAGCATAATACGTTGGAATTATTTCTTGTGTTTATTTAATTCAGCCTCGGTTCGCATTTCTAGATATAGTAACGCACACTGAGCGATATAATGAACCGAATCAAATACACCGATTCGCCCCACCAAATGTAAATATGGATATGATTCTGCATTTTACTTTTTTTAAAAAAAGGTTGGTTGGATATTTTGGAGCACAATAGGGCGCCACATGGTGTTGGTTATTTCGTAAAAAGAGGCGGGATATTATAATAAGTTCAAGAAACCCTGCTCTAAATTGTAAAATGATGAAAATAATGTTATGTGTGCATTGAGAATTATATATATATATATATATATATATATATATATATATATATATATATATATATATATATATATATATATATATATATATAGGCCTATATATATACTAGCCGCTATCGGCTAGGCATTGCTCCATAACGACCCCCTAGGGTAGGCCTACAATCAAAATAAACTAAAATAACATGTCGGAATAGTATCTTCTAAGAGCGTATAGCTTTTTACATTGTAGAAGCAAATAGTTGCAAAGCGTAACATTAGCGTAAGTTTAAAAAAAAAACTAAAAAATAAAGTGAAAAGGGAATTGCAACAGACCATTCTATACATACATACAGATCAATTAACTACTCTTAATTATCACCCTGTGTAATTACCCCGCTACACAATGTAAATAATACCAGCACATTCCTTTCCTTCCACATAGCCATCTCCGAACACTAACCCTATTGTTATCCAAAACGATATGTCTTTAATGTTCATTATATCCATATTCTTTATTAAATCATAAAATTACCACTATAACTGTATAATTACCGTTGTTTGCAGTATAGAAATGTCAATTTACGAAAACAAATTTGTCAAAAAAGATTTCGGTCACAACTGCAAAACAAAATTAAATAAAGAGTTTCAGAGAGCTCAGAGTAGAGGTACAATTAAACAAAATATGTTAAATGAAACATTAAATGCTTGGCGTTTTAATATCTCAGAATAATATGTAAAATGTTTTCACAATACAGAGAAATTGATAATTATATTTTCTATAAGGATACTTTTTTTTAACATTCGAATGTTACGTTTGCCTATAATTCATGTCGTTTTTGAAATACAAATAAATATTTTATCCAGACCACTATTACTCTTGCGAAATACTCTTTAGGAATATTTTTATTCGTGTCTTTTAAAAGTGTATTTGATGTTTTTTTGAGCTTTGCGGTATTATTATTATTATAAGTTTATTATAATCAACGTATTTGAGCACCAATAGGGTCATCGCCTCATTTTTTTTAAAACTAAAGTTACTGTGTGAAACCACAAAAAATTCAAATTTTATCATGTCTTTTTAAAAATTGTATTTAATTTAGAAAACAAAGTAATAAAAATAAACTGGTAACATATAAATATTTGTAATCTTGTTTGTGTCTACTCTAAATATAATCTGTAACTTAACCAAACCATCTCAGCTACAAATATATTTAACTCTATACATATATTTCATTCACACAATATTTGAAGTGGATTTTAATTGGTGCTGTTATAATAAAATGGATTTTTATGATTCCTTTTAATATCAAAGAATTTTTTCATGTCTGGTATAACAAACTTGAAAATGTCATCACTGTACAGTTTAGCAGTAACAATACCAAGACTTGATTGGTCGAATCTGAAAAAAAGAATAGTAACAAATAGTAGACAGCTTAATTTAAAAAAAAAAACAGAAAATAATAAATTAATTATGCTTTCTATTTGGATCATTTATATTTGGTGTGTGTAGGCCTATATGATAACATTTATATGTCATAAGTAATATTTAGTAATATACTAGACTACCCGTCATCCGTTGGATAACTGTCGGTTTCGGGGGACATCCATCAAAAAACATCACGTCTGTCACTCAGAGGCACAGCGACCATTAACGGCGCCCGGGGACAAACTTATCAATTTGAACCCCCCCCCCCCCCGCAAGATTTCGATTTGCAACCCCCCCCCCCCCCCCAAACTTTTGATGTGCATCCCCCCCCCTCAAGATTTCGATTTGAACCCCCCCCCTCCAATCAAACTTTCGATTTGAACCCCCCTCAACCTTTCAATTTATTTTTCCAACCCATTTTGGCGCCCCCTAAGGTCGACGCCCGGGGACATATGTCCCCCCCCCCACCCCACCCCCTCCCTCCTCGCTACGCTACTGCAGTGTCACTTATCGTCACAAAAAACAGACCCCACATTCAAAAATATGTTTTTTATCTTTTAAAAACACCGAAAACACCGATTTCGGACTATCCCTTCATATACTGACGTCACAGGTGACCTACTCAACTCTACTTCACCTGCCCAGTGTCCCGCCAAGTCTCAGACAACATGTTTTTATCGTTCAAAAACGATTCCAGCCGAGCATGTCTCTGACCACACTATCCCTTCATTTGCTTAGGACAAAGAAACAGATGAACCCTACTTCACCTGCCCTGTGCCCCGCGAGGTCCTGATAGTCAACCTTATCATTCACATATAGGGCTTAAGAAAAAATAATTGAAAACGTAAAAAAAAAAAAGTTCTTTAAATGTTTATGACACTGACTTTAAAATTTAGCCTTCATTCTCCAAAGCAAATTTTAAAATGCTTTTCTGGCATATCTAGCCCTGGCCACCTATACCATGTTTAAATAATGTGAACACCCGCCATTTTGCTCGTGGTAAACATGGCCTAAAGATCAGCTGTCATGCGTCCGGTCCCATACGCCGACCACGCCTCCAAGTTAGTGAGTAATCCTACTATATCTAGATATAGAACCTAGATAACAAAAAAATCCCATGTATTCTCGAATTAGATGATCATTGAAGCTAAACAAAGATTTATATAAAATAATTAAGGCCCGAAATAGATTCTAGATGTAGAATTTACATTAAGTCTAGATCTAGAATTTACATTGAGTCTAGTGACCTAGATCTAGATCTAGATCTAGAATCTAGGCCCTCTAGGCTAGATTCTAGATTCATAACTTTCCTTCGACAGCTGATCTTTAGATCTAGAGAAATTTATTGTAAAACTAAATGAAAAAAGACAGTTTAAAATTGATATAAGTATTGGAACGTAATAAATACAGCAAACGGACGTATTGTTAAAGTTATGACCGACAGAAAATTAGATTTAGA